GGAGGTGGGGGTAGGTAGGGCAGGGGAGAGTAACGGGGGGAATGGGGACAGCTGTAATTGAACAACAATAAAAAAGACTTAAAAACAAAACTGTAAACCTTATAAGCACAACTCATTGCTTTGTACAATGCTGCTTCTTGGCATATATTAGCTATGACTGTTTCAAAAGATTCATTCCATTTCTGATTTTGACAAAGCAGGTTGAGGCTCGTCTCTGTACAGCAATCTTATTTTCCAGTGACATCGCAGACCACAGCTGCATTCCGAGTGTGCGCAGTGAGTCCCGGTGGGAGTGCTCCAGCTCTCTGGCCCCGTCTTCCTTCCTGAGACATTTACGCAGAGTAGAGTGTCTGAGCCGAGCCGCCTGTCCGCTTCATCCCTTGGACTGGATATGTTTAGAATAACATTTCAAATTAAAAAGAAAAGTTAAATCTAAATGTAAGTGTCAGGCCCTAGCCAGGTAGCTCAGTTGGTTAGAGCTACACCAAAGTTGCAGATTCAATCCCTGAGTAGGGCACATACAAGAACCAACCAGTAAATACATGGACAAACAAATGGATGTTTCTCTCTCTCTCTCCTTTTCTCTGTCTCTCATTCTCTCTAAAAATCAATCAATAATTTTTTTAATTTGTCGGTTTTGAACTGCTTGTAAATCATTGTTCGCCCCACTTTTTCACGGTCTTCCTCACTAACAAGGAGTCGCTGAGGAAGAGGGACACTCAGAGGAGCCAGGTTCCCATTAACGTCTCCTGTGGTTGCTGTGTAACTAAGATGACAGCTCATACTCCTTGAGGAATCGAGAAGAAAATCTCAAGGATAAAAGAAAACGGTTGAAATTAGAGACATAGAAAGACTCGCCTACTTAAAAAACAAAACCAGAACTATCTCATTTTCTGCCCTCATCCTGCTGCTTTAAAAAAAAACAGGGGAAAGTTTCCACTTATTAGCTGATAGGAAGGCATTGCTGTGTGGGGTAAATAATGGGTTTGAGTTAGACATGGGTTCAGTTGCTCATCTGTCCTCTACAGGGTGTGTGAACTTGAGCAAATCACTTAAAGGGTTTCTTGAGGATAGAATGAGGTGAGCCATGTAGGGCCCTTACTAGGACACTTGGCTCATAGTAAATGCTAAATAACTTTTGGCTGTTATCAGAATCTTCTTCATCGTCATTTATCACCACCACCTTCACGTTACGGTAACCGTTGCTGCTCACGCTACCTGCACCACCACCATAATCACCATCATCACCCTACTCCACTTTCCTCCTACCTCTCTGTGCCCTCCTCACAGCCCCTTGGGCTTTCCCTTCCCAACCCTTAAGTACTGGGGTCCTGAGGCTCGTGCCCGACACACTTTTCCCTTCTCTTCATTACCAGTTCTCCCTAGGCAGGCTCATCCGCAGTGGGGTCTTCATGTATCAGCCTGCTGACGGCTCCCAAATCTATTTCTCCAGCCCGTATCCCTCTTGTAAACTTCGAATGTTACATCCATCTATCCAACGGACCTCTCCTCTTGAATGTTCCACAAAACTCAACACATCTTCCTTTCCCCTCAACTTGGGTCTTCTCTTGCTTATCTTAAAGGAGGCATTGCCATTCACCCTGGTAACAAAGCTAGAAAATGGGCTGTCATCCTTGACTCTACCCCTTCCCCTTCCTCCACGGTTCACCCAGTGAATGTGCCCGTTGCATTATACCTTCTAGATTATAAGTTTCACGTGGTTATAACTGAAAATGTCAGTGCCTAGCAGTGTTCAGTAAGTAATTGTTGAATGAGTGAATGAATGAGTGAAAGAAACTTGAATACCCCCACCACCTTTCATTTCCACGGCCTGTCCTGCAGGTCAGGCCACCATCAGTGCTCAGCAACTTAGTAATTCACAATTTGGAAACCCCATAGTTGAAATATCCTAACCGCTCTCCCTACAGTCCCCACCCCAGCACCACTGTGGTTCACTTTCCACACTGCAACCAGAGTGATTTTTATAAATCCCCAGAGTCTGATCATGATCGTGCGTCTTCCCTGCTTAAAGCACTCCGGTGACTCTGACGGGCTGTCCTGATTTAAGGTCCTGGTCTACAACTACCGTCCCAGCACAGTGGTCCTTCTCAAGGATGCCCTGGATTGCACGAGATGATGCTGTCACCCTAAACCTAACCTATGGTCCGCTTACCTTTCCAGCTTTGTTGCTCCTCTTTCTTTCTTCACCCCTCCGTGCTACTCCCGTCTTACCGAAGTTAAAGCCTTTCTACTTTGTCGTGCTCACTGCTCTCACGTCCTCTTCCTTCTGCCTGGACCTCTCCCTTGTCTCCTCGCTTGGCTGACGCCTACCGTCCGGGTCACAGGGCAGATCTTCCTTCACAGAGGAGTCTTTCTTCTCCAGCCGCCCAGCGTTAGGTCAGGTACCTGTTTGTGTCCCCACATCATCTTGCATCCCAGCTCCTGCCTCACTGTTTTCATTACCTGTTAACTTCGGTGGGTCCCTCACCAGCCTCTAAGCTCTTCTCTTGGGTCAGTGACCACATATGCTGGCTACATCATTGAATCCTGATGCCCACACCAGCGTCCTGCCCAGGGATTCTCAGCACATATGTGGTGAGTGACAGAAATAAAACACCACAGGCTATTTGTATGATCAAAGTATATATGTGGAAAATCATATTCTGTAGCAAATCTGGGAACGTGCCTGATTTGTGGCTGTAAACAGTATATTGTCTTCTTGCCTCTGTTCATCACATCTGTGATAGTGGTGGAAATGCCTCTGCGTTCCTTTGATTAAAAGTTTGTTCTAGGACCGGATTTGCAGTTGGTACACACTGTCAATTCCAGGAAGCCTTGCAGGTGATAATGTTGCAAAACAAAGCAAAGAACAGCTGGGTTTTTTTTTTTGCCTTTAAAGAAAAAAAAAGCTGCTTTTATTTCAAGTATGTAAGGCAGATTGGTTTTAAATTTATTTGCTTTGAAGTTAGAATTAAATTTATTCTCATTATTCTAACATATCCTAGATTGTTTAAATCCCATAGTCTACTCTCATACTAGTAAAAGCAAACATAAAATGTCTCATACTTCAGTGTAATCATTTGTATTGTATTATTTGCAAACTTGAAGTTGTGTGCTTAGGTGGGAAGTTCTACACTGTCGTTTGATCCGCCAGAGAACCCAAACCTTTTGCTCCACACGCGTTGATTGGAAAAGAGCTCTGGAATGATCTGGGGTCTGTAGACACCATTTATTAAATGAAAAGGAAGGTTAATAGCTTTTTTCCGAACATAAATAGCTTCAGTGTTTTCTGATTATGAAAAGTACATAGTCACTACAAAATTACCACAAAAGATAAAAAAAGAAATAAAAATTCCTCTGTAATCCCACTTTCAGGTTATTGTATTGAACATTTTAGGGAATGTATTTCTAGGCTTTTTTCTGCATATGTAGTCAAGTCAATGCAATTTTTAAAAAATCTGAGAGTGGTATCATTCCACAGATACGGCTTTAAAGTGTGTTTCTCCCCTCAACAACTTTGAGATTTTGAGAAGGGTGGGTCACGTGGATTTTAGGACATTTTACTTTCCAGTGTATTGGGAAGTCTGTTTCCCCTGCACCACCCCTGTGAGGAAAACTTCTGTAATAATCTGTTACTCTTTGAATCAGCCTGGATTTGCTTGAAGGAAACAGAATCCATGCTAGCCCTTTTAAGCAGGAAAAGATTCGATTTTTTAAAATCAGCGTTTAAAAGACTGGGGGGATGTCTGGAAGAGGGGGCTGTTGGCTGTTCCTCCAAAAATAAGTCTGATCTGATGCAGTGGGACTGCCCGGGCCGCTGCCTCTTCCTGTGACCAGGACACAGGGCATCAGAATGCAGCCCCCAGGATGGCTGTCTGTCACCCTTAGCTGACATACTAGGACAGGCTTGTCACTGCCACTAGGATTGGCCCTACAGCCACACAGCACCTACTTGGTCCACTGTGGCAGAGAATGGGTGCCCTGGGTCCCCGGGGCTTGCTTCTCTGCTCTCATTAAGCTGTGCACAGGAAGCTGCACGATGAACAAACAAAAGTCCCCACGACCATGTTTGCCATTGGAAATCACAGAGATTTCCCCTGCTCTCTGACGTCTTTAAAATTTCAGGCCAGTGGGTTCCCAGTGATGAATCCCTTTCATCATTGTGCATTGTGTATTCACTGGCAATTAATTCCTAGGGTCAAAGGTATGCACAGATTGCCCAGAAATGTCTTAACAACTTGTTTTTCCACGTAGACTCCTATCGTTTTTCCCTGGCACCCTGGCCAACATCATGCCCTGGTCACGCTATCCTTTCTGTTCCTTGAACTCACTCTGTTTGACCCCCCTTGATGCATTTGCACCGACCGCTCTCCCTCCCAAGAGCACTCTCCTGCCGTACCGCTATGTGGTGTAATTTTCTTCTTATTCAGGTCTTGCCTTAACTGGGTCCTCTTAGAAAGGCCTTCCCTGACCTTCAGCTACAAAGTAACTTCCTAGTCACTCCTATCTCATCACACTCTTTTATTTCCATCATAGCACATATCAATACCAGATCCTTTTTATTTGTGTATTTATTTATTTGTATGCTTTCTTTCTCTACAATCAAGGTCCATGAGAACAGGAGCCTCAGATGGCTCTTAGAACACCATCCCCAGTATATGTGTGTTTGCTAACGGAACGAACTGGGCATTCTAATTTTTTCATTATTGCCATCTGGCGCGTGAACGTGGACTTCACACGAATTATTTTTCTGGACTGGGGAGGCTGAGCACCCTTTGAAGTGTGAAAGCCTTTTTTTTGAATAGCAAATGCTGAGATGTTCTACACGTTGAAATATTCAGTTAGCATGTTTGTTTCGATATGCCATATCAGATTTCTTTTATTGCTGATAAGTTGCAAAATTTCTCAAGTTTCAGATACCTTCTTTCTGCTCTATGCTAAAGTGGGGTTCCTTTCGCCAAGTGCACGTACATACCATTGTGTTCTCTTCGTCTCCACAGCTTTTGGAGAGAACCAACAGCGGTTTGGACGAATCGGATTCCGGTGCTACGAAGAGTCCGCTCCACTTAGCCGTAAGTGAGATGCTGTGAGCAGCCTTGCTTGTTACAAAAACAGTTCCAGTGCTCCTCCAGTGAGGCTGCTCTGATAACGAAAGCACAGAAGTGCAGGAATAACGAAAACAGGACTTGGGTGAAGGCTCAGGCTCTTCAGAGAAAGCCTGCTTCAAGCTCCAGTCCCAGCTGCACCCCCCTGGTGACCTTAGACTACCTTAGACACGTGACTTACCCCACCCCAGCTCAGTTTCCTCATCTGTAAAGTGAAGGAAAAGAGATCATGTGCATAAAGCCTTTACCTCAGTGTCTTTAACAAATGAAGGTTATAAATTTTAACAATCGTTACAATTCTTATCTAGTAGTGAAATCAGTAAAGTGAGGGAATCCAAAGAAAATATTTCCATTTAAGATATTTGATTATAGTCAATACACAAGTATGCATGCTGTAGGTCATTAAATAGCACAGTTTTAATACTACACTTAAAAACTTGAGATATTTGAGTGCAAACTCGTGAGAGCGAGATGAGCGCATTCATAATCGCAGCTGTGCTGTGTCTGTGTGCACTCGGGGTCAGGGTCTCAGAGGGGCTCCCAGGCTGGAGGCTGTCAACAGGGGCAGGAGAGGAGGAAGAGGAGTTCCAGCACTGGGAAGCTTCCACTCTGCATCCCAGTCATTGAAGAGAAATGCTCAGAGTGATGATCGGTCCCCACACCCTCCGTGGGGGAGACTCAGCTGAGCCGGCTGGCCCACTACTCAGACTCAAACAGTGCTGGCCAGCAGCTGACTGTCAGTAGCTATTCTCCAGGAGCCTCTCTGCGGGGCAGCCACACCCAGCACCAGCCACTCCCTTGCCCAGGGTGCTGCCAAACTGGAGGCCCTCGGTCCACGACCACAGAGACGTTTGGGTGCACCCAGAGACAGGACACTGGGAAGAGTGCAAAGGGACTGGGTCTCTGTGTTTTGCTGTTACGACATTTCACCTAATATCCTAATATTTCCATGCACATATACGCACTTATTCAGTGTCGTTCTGATGAAAATTTGAGATGGAGATTTTGGAGAACACAGACAAGCATTTTGTTTATGATCAAACATTAGCTTTCAGGCAAGGTGAGAGAGGCTGCCTTCCCACGGGGGCGGGATGAACCGGCCACCCTGTCCTGCACCGGGCTCCTCCTTCCACTGCTGTCTCCCCACAGATGCACCAGAACTTCTGTTGACACCCCACTCACCACCCTCTGCCACACCCACTGGCACATCCACTACACACCCACTGATGCACACACACACTCTCAGAGTCCAGTGTGGTCAGGTTCAAATGTGCATGAACCTTTGTTCCTGGAGATGGAACTGGAATGGAAATTGGAATGCGTGGGATACTTACCTGTAGAAAACATCACACCGGTTGACTTTCAGTACCGGTTGCTCCCTGAAATCTCTGCCCAACCGTCTGCTGTGCCAGGGAAGTTACCCAAGGTCGAGAGTTCACAGGCAGCACTAGCTGCCCCTAGAGAAGCATCGTTGGAAGTTACCCGAGGTCGAGGGTTCACAGACAGCACTAGCTGCCCCTAGAGAGGCATCGTTGGAAGTTACCCAAGATAGAACTCTAATGGCCTTCAATACTGGGGTTGATGTGTCACCAAGCCTGGTACTAATCTGAGAAGAGGCTGCCTTAGCTTCCAGAAATTCTATCATCCCTCATTCATTTTTTAAAAAATTATAGTTTAGTGCTTATTGTGCGGCAGGTGCTCTGCTAAACTCTGTGGGTTTCCCGTCGTGTAAAGAGAGGGTGACAGATATCACAGAAAGAGCAGGGGTTGGGTAGTTCCGCAGCATGCTGGGCCTGGAAAGTTCCCACGGGGAGGAGGTCGCAGCCTCCAGCTTTCTCATTAGCAACTCACCTGGACATGGTTTCCCACCTGGAAACTAAAAGGAGTAAGTTCATTAAGGGTCTCCAAACCTTTTCCAGTTTGTTAATTTATGTAATTGTTTGTTGTATGATCTTGGCTAAGTAGCTAACCACTCCTGTCTTGGTTTCTTCACCCACAATAAGTGAGAATAGCAGTACAATAAGGCCATGGGGGGGATGACATAAGTTCATGCACATAACACACAACAGTGCCTGGCACATCTGTGTAACCAGCTCACTTCATCCTCACTATTGTTGACATGAATACCATCCTTTCATTTGACATATGCTGACTGTGTACATACTAAGCACCATTCCAGGAACTGGAGATGTTGCAATAAACAAAACCCAGCCTCCGTCCTGGAAGAGTTTCCAGTCTAGGAGAGACAATAGGCACGTACACGTACACCATGCCAGTTGGTGACAAGTGGTGCGGGGGCTACGAATGGGGTCAGTGAGGTCAAGAGTGTTGAGGTGGCAGACAGAGTGCTGTCTGACATAGCACAGAATCTCACACCTGAACCTTAGAGCCACTCACGCTGATACCTGACAGAGGACTGTTCTAGGCAGAAGCACAAAGGTAAGAGCAGGCTTGGCCTGTTACCAGAAGAGTGAGGAAGCCACTGTGGCTGCTGAGAGCTGTGAGGGAGAGGGGCCGGGGCTTTATGTTCCATTATAAGAACTTTGACTTTTGCTCTGAGCAAAATAGGATACCATTTGGAGAAGTTTGAGAAGACAGATGAGGTGATATGACTTTTGTTTTAAAAGCATTGCATTTAAATTTTAAAAAAGCAGAGGCAGAAGGAAGGCAACCAAGCAAACAATGGTGACAATGACTTTGATCAGGGTGATTGCAATGGGTTAATTCTAAAACTATTTTATTCTTGCTCTCTAAATGCTAACCCTCAAAAAAATGTTTCTGTGCTTCAAGAACTCCACAAGGATGCCCATCACCCTCTCCAGGGGCCTCTGTAGCAATTAACTGGATAAAAACCCAAGGCACATTATTTCTTAGGTGGAAGCATTCTAGCAATGAAATGCAACCAGATGCCCTCAAACTTGACTGCCAGAGATACCTGACCTGCCTTGAGTTACCATTTCCTGGCTGAATGATTCGAGTCTCCAGGGTTATCAGCCCAGTGAATTTCATAAGCATTTTCAACCACTTGAAAAATTAAATCAGGACACAGGGCTATGCAAATGCAGGGCTCCAGCTGTCCAGATTTCCAGATGGGCCCCGCTGTTTCATGCATTCTGTGGCAGTCCCGAGGCTTTTCTCCTCCTTGCTCTCAGTTCCAATCTCAGAAGTTCAAAGAAGTTCATCATGTTTCAAAAATATTTGTTACCTAATGAGATTTAAGGTATTTTGTAAAAACAATTTAAAAGGTTTGCTCCCTCCAGCAAAGGCTCAAACTGGGCGTCTGTCTGAAAGCCAAAATGTGACGTGCTTTTTGAACCAGCATATTTGTTTTGTGTGTGTGTGACTTCCTCCTTTAGTTATTGTGGAATTACATACTTAGACACCTGCTTTAAGTTGGGAATAGAAGGAAAAAGAGGACAGTTGTCATCATGTACCACTGACATGAGAAGGACTGCTTTGCTGGCTACTCAAGTCTCTTTCAGGAAGTTTAAAGCTTTATTGTGTACTTTTTAAATATACTCCAAAAGCCATATAACTGCCTAAAGAGGGAATCATGTATTTAACTATAAAATAGAATTCCATATTATATGGTAGGTTTTTTTTAATAGGGTTAAGCTATGAAGTGCAAAGGTAAATGAAAGTTCTTGTATAATCAAAGTTACCTTCATTATTTCCCTTCTATTGTCCTTGAAGTTTAACGCAACACTGTGTGCCTTCAGTTCTGTATTGAGATGTGTGTGCACACTAACATTCAAGAGCTGCAAATAGACCAGCCATTTTCTACCTTTTCCATCCATGGCGCACGTGAACTTATTACTAAAATTATGCACACACCCCAAAATAAATCTTTTGCTGATCTGACAGCAAAAATAGGTAGAATTTCGATTCATTCACACTGACCAGCTATTGTTGTGTTGGCTCTTGTTGCTTTTTTATTTGACAGTTTAAGGGAAAAGAGGTTAGTGCCCCTGACCAAATAGTCAGGTATTGAATGTTTTAAAAATTCTTGTGGCGCACCAGTTGGAAATCACTGAACTAGACTAAAGGAAGAAACTAGAAGGATTCTATAGGTAAATCTGGACTGTCAACCGTTCTATCTTTAAGAGAATTTTCAAGCACCTGGTATAGAAGAAAGTATGGATTAGAATTCTGAAGCTTTTCTAATTACCAGCAGGAGTCACTCCGTCTTGTTTTGATATGAAGCCTCTTTAACTGTAACACATGCTAGTGGATCGATTTTTTTCATGGGGAGGTTGAAAGGAGAATGGGCAGGGGTGCTTTCGAGGAGTCAGTTCTTAAGTCAGCACCTGCCACCTTCGGTGCCCCGGGGTGTGGCTGTGCTGGGCTGAGCAGCGCTGATGCCTGCACCCGCTCCCTTCCTGGGCCCGTCTCTCCTTCCCCTGTGAGTCTTCCCCTTATTAAATCTAAATATGTTCACTCTCGTGCTTTGTAGATGTGCATGCAACTTACAAGTGGACGCTTCTATTTTCCTAGGCTGTCAAACCAACAGAAATTAAAACACTGACTGTTTTCATCATAACAGTAATTGCCACTGAAGCAGCCACCATTTGCAGATAGCCTCTAGAATCTGCTGTCATTTATGGGGAGTCATTTCCCTTCAGTGTGGAGTCAGGGTTTCTGCACAGGCTGAGTCAGTTACTATCATCCCAGTTTCAAATGAGGGGAAGTGTTATGCTAAGTCAGTTTTCAAATAAGCCACGTGCTCAAGCCCAGGTGAGATCGACTGATTTACACCCTGATGTAGATGCTTCTGTTACCACGGCTCTTACAGAGGGTAGGTGCTCTCGCGCTGCCTTAAAGATCACCCATGGCCTGAGTGGATAATGGCCGAGGTTAGGTGATGAGTATATGGGAGTTCGGTACATTATCCTGCCTTCTTGGTATGAGTTGGAAATGTCCACAGCAAAGCACTAAGGAAACCTACGCCTCTTGGTCTTGTTGCCTTT